CGTCCGATGTAGCAAGGATTTACGACGGATAGTAATAGCAAAATCACTCACGGTGTCAAATCCAGTGGTTATAGTGCCATTAACAAAGACAAGCGATGCATTATGAAGTTTTTCTCCAGCAAGTGAAGGTCGATTGCTGAACTGTTCAATCTCTGGAACGTGGGTGACGTTCTTGTGAAAGCTCTTCCGGACAGCGGCAGCAACTGGCTTTGACACATTCTACAGGGCAGAACATTTGCATTACGACAAGTTGCAAAGTTTCAACTCGAAAGACTTACGCGAGCACTGACCGTGACGGATCGAGCATGGCCAATAAGATCGTTTGCGATACCAAGTCCAGACTGACTCCCTCCGATGATAAGGACGTTCTGAAGAGCACAATGAGTGATTCTACATGACTTGAAGCATTGTTCGGGAAGGAAAGAAAAACCTTATTTCTAAAGTCTTGTGGATCCCGATACTGCTTAGAGTGAAAGATTGCATCGGGAAAAACGTGCGCCCATTCTTCCATACCAAAAATAGGAGGCACCCATGCGGCATCGCGCTTTGCTTCACTTCCTAAGACAACAGCATCGAACTCTTCCTGCCACCAGTTGACCTCGAGTTTACCATCTCGTAGCGGAGTGAGTTTGCGAAGCGTCAGGGTCCACCGTTTTTGGCTTCCAGGTATTCTTTCAGCACGTTCCACTCGTGTTGAGTACGCTTTGGCATTTACATGCTCTTCGTCATTCGAGTTGAGCCCTACGGACGATGCGTATTGTCTAATGTGTCTATTGACTTCCATATGATGTAGTTTCCATGGCTGTGGTATGCACGAACAAGAATAAAATTATATTGCTCACTAGTTCAGAACTGAAGATCGGAGAGTGAAATCTTACAGTATTCTTGGCGTGCTCAATATCTGGTAGAGACATGGAGAACTAAAACAAGAGTAAGTCCAAAGCAAGGAGAGGATGCAACATATTCACAGAATATGCACAGCTTACTTTGTGTTTATTTGTCATCATACTATGCCATACCGGGCTGGGATCCCAGTGTTCCCGGATCCGCCAATCAACAGTGAGTCCGTCATCGCCATCCTCATATATTCGAGTAGCCGGTAAACAGTCAGGGGTATCAGGGATATAGGCCATAGTCTCGATCGGCCGATTTCTGTAAACAAGGAGGGAGAGATTGAGACCAATAATCCGAAGGAGCATACATGGGAGAGACAGGTTTACGGGAATGATACCGGGATGGGCAGTTTATTGGTATAGTACCATACTCCACCTGGCTTTGGTGCCCGCTCGAACATTCTTACTTCGAAGCCATGCTTGATGAGCGTTGACGTGAAGACAAGACCATTTGGTCCAGCGCCAATCACAGCAACCCGACGAATATCGTTAGGAAATGTGTAGTATAGATTATCATCAGGGTCGGCTCCAGTTTGCAGTGGACATTGAGAACCAGAAACAAGGATGGAAAGCGAGAGAGCTACGAGCTAGCTGCGATACCGCATGACGAAGAGAAAGCCGTATTGCCGGTGCCGTAGGGGAGACGAAGTGTTGTGCAGTGGCCTTTCGGGTATAAGTAGGTTGATCTGCCGGTTTCTAAAGGTTCTGTGGTGGAAGGTGACAGTAGATGTGCATCACCGTGGGAAAACGGGACCTGCCCGGGACCTTCCCTCCGCCGAGAAATCAAGTGCGTTTTTCAGAGCCTAACCTGACCATCATTAACAAAATGACATGAGTTCATCGCGTTTCGACGATCGCGCCGTTTTATGTCCTCGACGGGCTCGCTTGGGCGACGCCTAACCTCTAGACCAGATGGTTATCGTGAGAAAACACCCAAGAACTGACAGTCTTAACAGGATTGCTCAAAAAGCAATGAGCTCCATTGAATGAATCGATGAATGGGAAATATCTTGTCCATTGGGAGATTATACGAACAGCGATAGCAACGGGATGGCCGCGAATATCGGAGAACTGAATAACGAGAGAGGCATAACACAATCGAAAACGATAGGGGAACCTGAGGGGCCGGATTACGATAGGAAGTGGTAGCGACGAAAGCGACAACTGGGAATTTAAGCTGAGCTGAGAGTGTATGTTCATTATTGTGATGTTGGAATAGAAGCGAGAGTGGATAGTTCATTCGAATAGAGTTCGGCGATAAGTGACTTTGTGGTGCGCAATGGCAGAAACGAATCAAGTCAGTATCATGGAAATGGAGCTTATTGTCGGCCACATAGGAAAGCATGCGTACCTGGTTAATGTTCAGCCAAACAGGCTATACCTACGCGGTCTTATGGATTCAGGTGATGAAGTGATGTCTACTTGTAGTCCACCCCATGGTAGACCGCTACAAGGGGCGCAGAGAAACGATTCAGAGATTAAATACAAATGAGTTCGGTGAAAAAGAGCACTCACAAGTCGAGTTGGCTTGATTTGCTGTGGAGTTACCACCCCCTCCATCGGCCGGAGGAGAGTCCGGTTGGGGGTCGGAGCTCGTCGAGTTGGCATCACCTTCCTCCTTCTTCACCAATGTACCATGGAGGACCCCGAGCGCCGTCGCGCCACGGCCGATGTCATTATTCACACTAAACGGTGAGGGAGCACCATTCATATCTGACAGACCATCGACATTGACGTCCATGTTGGGAGTGGGACTCATACGGACAAGCCTTTTGACCGACATATAGCCAAGACGAGCAAAGGGGCCGGCGTCGTAGTCACGATTGTGGTGCTCGTGTTTGTGCTTGTGCTCATGCTCGTGGCGATGTCCACGGCCACGGTTAGAGCGCGCGTATTCATGATGATCAGGGCCGGGATCGGGGTGAGGAGGAGGATAAGGATGGGATGGAATGTAGTAGCGCTTGTCGGAAGAGGTAGAGGAGGAACGCGCGATCGCATAGGGCTTGCAAGCAGTGGAGGTTGCTGCCTCGAGCGAACCATTGGACTAGGAAAGGGTGCAGAGATACGTCAGTATCGTACTCCAAACCAAGGCAGATTCAAAGCAGAAAGACGCACCGGATCATACGTGCACACATCCGTCGCGGGCACCTGAGGATACATCTCACCAGAACCCTGCCCACTAGCACCACCAAGCACAGAGTCAATCTTGCCACTGCCACTCGCATCCCCGTACACGCACTGGAGCTTGCCGTCCTGGCTCGTACTACACTCTAGGAGCGTGGTGAACATGGCAAGCAGTCCCCCTTGTTCGGTCATGGAGGGACACTCAAACGCGCCGACCGAACACTGAGACTGCGACGCAGAGGAAGCCGACGGAGGGACAATGACGATGCGTCTATGCTTCATCGTGCCCGAGAACTCCGCCGTACTTGGCTTAGAGCCAGGATGGGGCTTGTCAGATGGTGCACCCACCATCCCGCCAGCCTGTTGCGCGCTAGCAGGATCGGCATAGTCTTGAGGTGTGTGCATTGTCGATCGTTGCTCATTTCCTCGACTGCTGGCATCATCATTCACGCGCATGAGCTCGGGGGGCGGTTGGGTGGCCAGACTCGCAGCGCGAACACCTCCGATCGCCAGACCAGGCCAACCAACACTGACACCAAGTGGAAGCGCGACGAGCGCGATGCGAAGAGCCTTGCTGATCATACTCGACGCGTCGAGCTGGGATAATAGGTAGACCTCGGTACAATTTGAGGAGCGGGGTGCACAAAGGAGGTGAGACGGGAATGGTAGGGAGGGGGGAACAGGTGAAGGTTTGGGATGGGGACACTTGTTGATTTCAAGGATTTAACGGTGACGGATCGGCCCCGACGTCGGCCAAACACTAAATGAAGCTAATCAACCATTCATCAAGATCACTCTCCATATGCTGGCTGCTTGATGCGCTCTTGACTTGAGTGACTATTTACCCCCAAAGTAGAGCTTAAATGCCTATTCTCTACCACCGGATGAGTTATGGAGGACCACCGATGATATTTGCGCGACACGTCTGACCAAAAGGCGACCCAAGTGGTCGACCGAATGCCGGACTGATTAGAATTGTCCATTTGTTCGCGCGCTTATCTTACTTTTTGTGTGCATAAACTTCATGAGGGCCTAGGGGTCACTGTACGGCTCGCCAATTCACATTCTTCCTGCAGAAAGTAACGGAGGGATATGGGGTATGTGGAAGGAGGAAAACGAGCGGCGGTTCGTGACCCGCCGGGTGTGACCGGGCTCCCCCGTCGTCACGGTGGTTTCGTGCCCCTCCATTATCTCAATGCTCCTATAAGTAAAAGATGACTTCAGACCATATCGGAGTTTGTTTGCCTCAGACCGCAAAGATTATCTCGCTCGATCTCCCCTGCCTACATTCCTCGGCGAGCGCTCGTTGGAACGAGGCACGAGGCAAAGGGTTGTCGGACACTATGTATGGAAACTGGTTCTTTGAACCGCCTTTTAAGTGAATTGTGTGATACGGAGATCTAATCCATGTCAAATGGCCTCTTCTTCCAGAAAACAACGAGCGCCAGCCTGAGCTATGACTCGGGCAGTTAGCGCAGGTAGCATGTACGAGGAGCATCGTGTACTAGGATGCCACCGGCAGCTACCACCCACTCAGTCGATCATTCATTCACGTATGGCTCTGCTATATACTTGAGTAAGTTTCCAATGAGGCAGTAACGTCAAATTGTATGCATGATGGTCGAGGAAGCAGTGGAAAATCTCTTCCAGCAAGGTGCCAGTAGTTAAGCGGTTAACATACAGAAGTTTATTCCAAAAACCTTTGCAAGACGTCCGTTCAACTCGGACCTGGTACAGCTACCTTTTTATCGCATCCATTGTCCCACTGTGCTCTCGTCTCGATCTTGTAGACCAGGTCTCAGGGAGTGATTGTGAGCCGATCGGAACCTTCCAGATGGCCAATCATCAAGCATCACTTCATTTGACCATGCAATCTGACGCATTTGGCAAAACGTGGGAGCAGCATTGCAATAGTGAGTAGAGTGAAATATAACACTGGACTCTCCCGTCGTGGTGCTAAGTGTGGGAGAAGTAATATACGACGTGCCAGTAGTTAAGCGGTTAACATTCACTTGAAATTTGGTTTTTCAAAGAACAACGTCCGTTCGACTCGGACCTGGTACACAATATTTTTTTTTCGCTGGTTTTTCTCCCACGATGAAGCAATACTCCACATCATTTGCTGTCTTACTCTGTCAATGCAGCGCTATCAGCATAGCATTCGGACATTTGCATCCCGCTCATATTCCATCTTACACAGGACAGACGAGCGGATTATTGAAGCTTCTCATAAATCGTTAGTCTATAGCATAAATCCATAACCTACATCCGTACCCTGCATCATACGACTCGGGGCGCTTGATAAGGAGAAGAGAAGGAAAACAGAAAGGAAAACGACAACTAAATGAAGACGAAAATGATATGGTATGGTATCAGAAAACTCGATCAGTCCGTTGGAATCATGCCATGGGGTATCCGCTCTCTGTCTCTTCACAGCACAAACTCGTCGCGCCAGCAGCGCAAGACACCAAGACCCGCCCGATGTGTCTCGAAGCGCGTCAAATCTCTCGCGACAACGACAGCATGTGCATGAGCTGCCGTTTCGTTGAGCGGGTTCGAGATCTTTGGCGTCTGCTCATCCTCTTCTTCAGCAACAACAGCAGCTGACGAAGGGGCTCCAGGGGCGGGAAGAGGTGCTCCGACAATGTATACGAGCTTTTTCTTGAGGTGCGGCAGGGAGTTGAGGTTGGCTGCCATCTTGACCTGCGCTGCGCTCAACTGGGGAGTAGCCTTGCACGCGTTGGCTGCGGGGGTGGTAGTGGGGGTAGGAGCAGACTTGGATGATGATGGCTCGGGGGAACCAGAGGATCGCGTAGATGGGAGGGATGTAGCGCTCGATGCGCCTGATGCAGGGCTGAACGCTCCTAGACCCGCACCAAGGCGAGCATCGAGCTCCGACGCTGGAGAAGCCGCTCCGCTGTTCACGCCATCCGCCTCTGCCTCAGCAGCAGCAGAAGCAACAACAGCAGCAGGAGGGGACGGGACCAAAGTGAAGCCCATGACGGACTGCTCCAGCAAATCTCCACCTTCCTCAGCACCATCATTGCCAACAAGATGCTGCGCCTCCTGGACACTCGCCTCCTCCATCTTCCTCCACATCTCCCTCAACCTCTTCGCGCCGATCGTCCCAGCACCCACCATCTTCCCCACTTCCGCCTCCTCAACATCGTCTTCATTCTCCATCTCCAACACTTTGGTGCGCTTCCCGCTCGCGCGCGAATCCATGCCTAGCTTGGTGAGCGCCACGCCCATGAAGACAGGCATCAGCACGGGCATGGCAGCCACGACGACCCAGTCGAGCCATGGCATCGTGCGTGAGCGCAGTGGTGGGGGGATGAATGGCTTCTTGATCTTGATGTACGGGAACGAAGCAGGTGGCGAGGCGGGTTGCGGTGGTGGTGCGCTGGGCGTCGAGTACGAGGTGATGACGGGGCTGTAGGTGGGGTCGAATTCGCTGTTGGTCAAGAGGGGAGAGGTCAATGAATGTGTGCGAGCGTGGGGTGATGATGGGATACTTACACAGTGAGGCCAGTAGTGGCTCGTTCCAGGAAGGGGTCTTCAGTCTCGATCGCAGCGCTCAGGTATGGGACCGTAGTGTCATTTACGCTATAATGATGGTAAGAGTCGGTTGAGTACGCCAGATTCCCGAAACTCTAGTTGATTAGCTTATCTACTCACGTATTAGCGAAGATCATCACATTCTGGAAGCGCTTGAGCGCAGCAAAGAACACCGAGTCTGAATGGGAGACAATAGTTAGCGCCCTCGATCTCCCTCTCATCTCAAAGTAAGAGAAACCTACCAGGATCGGCCATGATCTCTAGTAAACTGCGGCCATCTTCGCTCCACTTATCAACATGATAGAACTGCTGGCCAGTCCTGCCCAAGAATCGTGGACCAACCACACTAGCCTACAGTCAATCAAGATGAATCAGCCTTTTTCGCCCACTTCCCTAAATAGGACAAGCACTACTCACCACACCACTGAAGAAACCGGGATAACGCGGTATGCCCAGATGCGGTGTAGCAATCGTGTTGAAGTTGACAGGCTCTACGCGCTCAAAGAAGCCCTGTGCATGGAGGGCACCCACGACGTAGCGCGCAAGGAGGCCGCCGAGCGAGTACCCAGTGATACTGAAGCGAGTTACGACTCGTGGGCGAGCGCTGGACGAGGAAGAGCTAGGTTGCTCGATAGCGTGGATTTGCTCGTGAATCTATAGGCGTATGTGCATGTGCGTGGCATGATGGAAGTGCGAGGTTGGGTTGGCGGATTTGCACGAGGACAGGGTTATGTTTTGTGTGGACGGCGCCAATGAGCGGATGACGTTGTTAGGAGGCACCGATGTCCAAACCCCCGAGTAAAGTGGCAACAATTGTTATAGAACCAAAGAGCCCAGACCACCAAATAAGTGGATTAGATTGGATCGTGCCAACGAGTGGAGTGCACGGTTGTCGAGTGACAGAGTGGAGCAGAGGGGGGAAAAAAGCATTGTTGGCAGTGTCAGGAACATCAAATCTGAACACGACGGCGGCAGCCAGGCACCGAGCGCGAGTAAGCGGCACTAACCTCTTTGACGAGTCGCTCTCCTCCCCAGTCAATCCCATCGTATGTGTTCTGCTCCTGGTTCGACTCGGCGGCATGCACGATATACTCGTATTCACCGCCCGACTCGTCGGAGGCGGACAGTTTGATGAATCGCTGATACATGGTGTCCTTCATGGCTTGCAAGTGGGCCTAGTGGAATGACAACGATAAGTGACCGCGGAACATGGAAACGAGAGAAATACGACGCACAGGGTTGCCCCACATGCCATGGCACAGGATAAGAAAGTGCACTTTTTGTGGTGTAGAGGTGCTGGTGGTGTTGCTCATGGTGATCGACGGTCCTGCCGGCAGTTCCAGCGACAACGATGAAGAGGACGAGGATGGGGACGAGGAAGTAGAGGAGGAGGAGGAAGATGATGGTAGAGAGGAAGAAGAAGAGGAGTAGGGAGATGAAGTAGAAGTATAAGCTGACGCGGATGAAGCGATATAAGCGGGCGCTTTGTTCCTGTTGCTCTTGTCCCTTTTCGTCCGATTCGATTTTCTGACGCTAATCGGGAGTTTCATGCAGTGATGCTAGCTCGTGTATGGTACTCGGGAGAGTGAGGAGGAGGATAATGTCGAGGCAGGAGAGCTGAGGCTACTACTCTTATATGACTTGTGTCTGCCAACGCGATGCGCTCATGTTTCCGTCGCCTTTGCTGTGCGTCATGGCTTGCGCGGCTCGGACCTCACCTCCACCTCCACTTGGGCAATGCAGTCCAATGCAAAAATCGGTCGATTGCATGGCGATCTGAAGAGCCAGAACGCGTCGTCTTTCTCTTGCCGTTGCCGTGTCGGACACGGACAAACGGGTCCCGCGGTTCCGGAATGAATTGGATGACCAGTCGTCGGACTCGATTTGGATGACTCAGCAGTACGATCGTCAAATTCTTCCGCGTCAGGTCACAGTCACACATAGGTTGGCAACTGTGTCAAACTCATAGCAGTTGCTTCTGTCAAGGTCCAAGTCCCAGCAAGCAGAGAAGTAGATCATGCGAGGGTCAGTCATGGCGCTGGGTCCGCGGATCAATCGGACGTACAAACACGATCACAGCAGGATACTCCGTTAATCTTCGCCAGTTCATTACAAGGTCATCAAATTGAACGTCTATCGCAGATTCATGCAAAGTTGATTGTGCATGAACGACCGAGTCCATTAAGAATGACAATCAGGTAAAAGGCGCAAAAGCATCCGCCAACCAATTCACTTCAAGAAACGCGAAGTCATTCTCTTACTCCCTGCGTTCGTACATGACTCATTATATATCGCACAGGGCGCGCTATAGATGCAGCGCTAATGTGGGACAACAAACAGAAGAGGAATAGAAAGCCGAAAAGTAAATAAAACGTAAGTAAACGAGCAAGATCATGGTGTCCAAGTCACAAAGTGCACGACAAATCTGCTTGCACTATCCCTACAACACAAACTCATCTCGCCAGCATTTTAAGACACCCAATCCTGCGATATGATATTCACCAAAGCGCACTAGGTCCCTCGCCACGATCACTGCATGCGCATTTGCCCTTGTCTCGTTGAATGGATCCGATCGCTTTGGCGTTGGCTCATCGTTATTCCCATCCATAAATGAAGAGGGAGCGGGGTAGAGAGGAGGCCCAACAATGTAGACGAGCTTTTTCTTGAGATGCGGAAAGCTGTTGAGGTGTGCGGCCATTTGGAGCTGTGCCTTACTCAAGCGAGGGTAAGGGGTCTTTGACGATGTGGCGGGTGTGGGCGTGGATACTGATGCTGCAGAAAGAGGAGCAGACGCATCCGTACTGGCAGGGGACGGGGCCAGAGAGGGGCCCGCAGCTACCTGCTCCAATATATCTCCCTCCCCAACATCGTCCTCGTTCCCAGCGAGATTCTGCGCTTCCCTAGAGGTAGTTTCCTCTATCTTCCTCCATGCGTCCTTCAACCGCTTCTTGGTACTTTCAGATCCGGCATCCGACAACCCTTTCTCCGCTTCCTGCTTCACTTCCTCCTCCAATATTTTAATCCTCTTGTTACTTCCGTGCGACGCTATGGTCAGCCTTGTGAGCAACATACTCCAGATCACAGGCATCAGCACGGGCATCGCAGCTACCATGACCCATTCGAGCCACGGCCTCTTGGGTGAACGTAGGAGCGGGGGGATGAAAGGTTTCTGAATTTTGATGTACGGGAACGACGCCGGGGGAGGAGCAGGACGCGGTGGAGGTGTGCCAGGTGTGGAGTATGAGGTGATAATTGGGCTATAGGTTGGGTCAAATTCTCTATTGTAAGGGAGGGGATGAGTGAGTGCTCGTGAGGGACGAGATATCGAAGGAAGTAAGTGGTGGCATACACAGTAAGGCCGCTTTTGGCTCGCCCGAGAAAGGGGTCTTCTGTTTCGATTGCGGCGCTCATATACGGGACTGTGCCATCATTTACACTAAATGATCACAAGCGCAGGACATTTTAGCTGATCAGGCCCACCAACTCGAATAATTTCATATGAACTC